GCTACTGTATCTTCATTGAGTGAGTAAATACTTGAAGCTTCTTCTTTTCAAGAGACACCTTGTAAAGTAAAATCTATAATTAAAATTTGACAAAACAATCTGTGAATGGACCTTGAGTTGGTATTGTTTTCTGTACCTCTAGCTCCATGGTTGAGGCTTAATATAATGAATGCAACACTGGTGTCTTGAAGCTGTTTCTTCATTGTTCTTTTCCCCCCCCCTCCTCTACAGACTGGCCTGTGGGATCATCGCTCGATCAGCGGGTCTTTTTCAAAACCCCAAACAGATTTGTGCCTGCGACGGGGTCACGCTGTGGGAGGAGAGAGACAGGCCGATAGCTGGGAAAGGTCGAAGCAAAGCCAACACGGAGACACCGGCAGCGCACCTCTGAACCTCGCACACAAACACCGACCACATTTGTAACCTGTGTTGGATAGTTTGAACAGAAAGAGCCCCTCGAAGAGAATTGCACAGGACATTTGTCGACAGAGGGTGAAGCGAGAAAGACAAAGCACTAAGGAATATGTTTCCAGACAGCTGGACAATCGACCAAAGAAAAATAGCCTTATTTTCTTGTAATTTTTCTCTGTGATCAAATCAAAAGCTCTTACAGCTGCAGGTGGTGTCCTCTAAGGATTTTAAAAGCACTAAAGCAGATTAAAACAGCCTTGGGAGTTTGTAAAATTTGCCTCTGATTAGCTAGATGTCTGTTAACACTGTTATATGTTTGTATAACCAGTCGCCTCTGACACAACTATCTCATCACTGTCTAAATTGATGTGCTTGTAAGATTTAAGGTATCCATTTTTACTGTGCACTGGCTGGGATAAATGCACTTCAATTTGCTATGAAAGTTAATTATGCAAGCTTCCTGAAAACCGTAGAAGTAGTAAGAACATCCTGATACTCTCACCGCATCAGTGATTCCAACGCAGGGATACTTGTACTACGGAGGATACTTCTGCAGTCTGGTGGATATTTTGAGACATTGTGGAGTAGCTCAGCTCATTTGGAAAAAAATTCATGTTATGATTTGGTAACAAAATGTATCAACATTTTTTATTTTAGGAGGAAAATCAACATGCTACGACGGAGTATTAGGGCCATATTAAGAAAAAAATATATTTTATTTTTTTGGAAATTACGAGAATGAAGTCGTAATGTTGTCAAAATAGATAGCTTAAAGTAATGGTTCGATGGCTGAAACATCCAGCTTTGGTTACTCCATGTGGTAGCAGCAACCTAAACATGGACTGTTCCAGGATGGAGGATTCACACTCTATTATTAAAGGGGAACAATTGTGTGGGTACTTGGGAACCACTGGGCTTACTCAGGACACATTGAGGGAATCTGGGCCACTGTAAGCTGCGTTAGCTTGTTCTTTTGATCCATTAGGTGGTGTGAGTGACTTGGGTAAGAGAGATTGCAAGGAGCTTGGGAGAGGGAGTCAAATTCCATCCAGAGTGAAAGGCCAAGGGTGGGAGGGGGTTGATAAGGGGAGGTGTCTTGAGGGATTGTGTGCTCAGCTGTTTTTCAACATGGCGTTGAAGTGTACAGTTTCTTCATGGTCGCCACAGTCAGCGTTGGAGTCATACAATGCAGGAAAATGAAATCCTGTGCCCATTTTCTGCTTTAAATTCTCTGTTGTTTTCTTGTGTATAAACTGATACATGATGATTGAAGTCTAATATCATAATGTACAAAACTTCTACCTGCTGACACTTGTTGATTTCCATTAACACATATTGAAGAATTGGGACATTGTTTACGCCTATTGATGTACATATGTGAGTGTGTTGCTTTGTAGCTTTGCATTGATTTTCCAAATTGAGAATCGGTCCCGTCTCGTGACGCCTGAATAAGCTTATTGAATTTTCTCTGAATGCTCAGTCGGTGTGTCCTGTTTGTGTCTGAGGGTTGTGAATGCAACTTGAATGTAGAGCTGAACTAATGACTATTGATGTTATTGTTTATTAAATCTTTAAAATGTCCTTATTCCCCAGAGCCCGAAGTAATGTCTTTAAACAGCCATTTTTTGTCTGACTTTTATCTAAAAAATATTGAATTTACAGTCATAAATCAGTGAATCCTCACACGTGAGAAGCTGGAACCAGGGAAAGTGTTTTTGCTTGATACATTTCCCAGCACTGCTTGTTTTTTCCAGCCATGCATCTGTGTATTTGTTATACAAAGCCTGCATTAGCAGTCATTTTGCACTTAATCTGTCCTCTGTGGTTAAGCAAATATATATCAGTCAT